TTATCAGTCCAATTGGTTACGTGTAACCTTGTTTGCCACACTTAGGTTGTGTACGTGTTGGATTTGAAATGTCTTGGTTGCTCTGAAGGACTCAACATTGCTACCACAGAGAAGTGGCTGAGCACACATGTTGAGCTAATGCTCGTCGAAGTGTTTAATTAATTAGCTGAGATAATCATGTAAAACAAAATGTGAACGATAGCTGTGCTTAGTTTGGACTCATCATCTACGGAACTTGTGCTTGCTGTAGTATGAGATTGATTGAAAAAGAAAGAGGATGTCCGTGTGTGTAATTTGTTTGTGTACGAATGAATTGCACTACTAAATAATTCAATGCATTGTTGGCTTACAATGTACTTTATGGATGTATTTACTAGTGAAGGAGAAAAGGAGGTGGTGATATTCAAGAGGAGGCAGGATCCTACATCCATTCCTGGCAGCATTTCCAACAGACTATGACTTTTGGTTCTGGTCCCTCAATGCAGTTCATAGTGTGGGTTCTATGAATTTTTACGTAGTAGTATGTTAATCGCAACGCAATGGCCGATGACAGTTTTCTTTTTAATTTTCTTCTGGAAACTAGTTGGAATGGATTTGTTGGCTGAATGGACAGCGTAAGATAGCTCCGACTCCAGAGGTAAAGTTAGCTCTATTTCCATATACAGAACTGTTAGTCTGCGCACTCTAGAGGGAAGGAAAAAAAGGAAACTTCGAACATGCAAGGGGTAGGTCTGGAGAAAAAGAGAACTGAAGAAGATAGTGTGAAGTTCTAGGAAAAAACAAAGTTGTACTTTAACCTTTCTACAGTTAAGAAAATCAATATGCACAGTAGATGTGTCGAATTGCTAGATTTTGTAGCAATACAGAGAGAGTCTGTGCAGTAAATGACTTTGGATTTGTTCAAATGCTTCCTTTTCAGTTAGTTTTAGTTCTGCAACAAATTTGTGAGGAAAACCTCCTGCTTTTGAATAAATTTATGACCAGTGGAGAACTCATACTCTACTAGCTTAGTTCTCTGCACAGGAGCTTTTGATTTTTCTTTTTTTGGTGTCATTTTGAGTGCAGACAAAGTGACATTTCTTTCTTATCTCGCCTTCCCCTTGGCATACACTCACACACTTCCATAAAGTATGGATTCTTCTGAACTCCAGTGAACTCCGGCTAACTCCTCTTGACATATACTCGATTTCTCTTTGGCTGGAAGTTGCATACAATATCTTTTTTGTGGTGTAGTCCTCACTGTTTTGCATCGTGAGATGGGTTGGTGAAGTCATGTCTGACAAAGACGCTAGAATATTTTGCAGTGTATTAAACTTGCTGCCAATAATATCTTGGGGGAGTGATTTTATGTTCTTTCACTATTAGATAACGCTACAACTCTCTTCAGGAAATGGTGGAGCTTGAAGCTAGGCGTGAGCGGATTAAACTTAATGTTGCCAGTATGTGTCTCTAACTTATCTTTAGATATTTATTGTCTCCCTCTTTTGTTTCCCATTGCCAAATACTCCCAGTCCCTGGCTTCTTATTGATCTCTCCACTGACAATTGATTGATATGATGAGAGTATGGTTCTTACGGAACAGATTCAAAATGACTTGTTGGCATGTTTAGGTGCTTTCGACTTAGACTGTCACCTTCACAGAAGTCTCTATTTATTGTTTATCCTCCAGCCAAATGTTTGGTGAAATCTACCTCTCTGTGTCTGTATCTGTAGAATGGGTCAAGTTGTAGGCCTCCATATGTCATTCATACTAAGCTGTAAAATGTTAGCTAATACACGAAATCTTCTGAAGTTTCCTGAAATAGAAATATTTGGAACACCTTCACATTAAATTGCATGGTGTGTGATCAGATGCTGTAACTGTGGTGGCCATCTAAATGCAAAACTAGACCCCATTTGTGGTTGGGTAAATATATATAGTGGAACTGAACTGAATGGTCATCACAGCTTGAATTTTGTTGAATTTGGACCACAACAGCTAAGTCTTGGAATATGCCTGGATTGATCTTAATTGATGATCATCTATGTTTTCTGACTTCAGCCTTTTAAAGTCAATTCAATGTGTACAATCGCTGCATTGGCATTTTCAGATTTTTTTCTATCTAAACTCCCTGCTTTTTTATGAGTTTTTCATTTCGTTGACTAATTTCATTTCACAGGGTTAAAGAGGAAGAAGAAAAGAAATTGAAAGGCTACAGTATCTGGGTAAAAAGCATGAGCGCTGGTCTGCTCTTTGCTCTATTTCTCTGTGATTGCATAACAACCTTTCTAAACCCCTGGTTATACAACCCCTTTTGTAGGTAAAGTTGGGAGGTCCAGACTTGCTAAGTTTTGTTCGGCAGTTCACATGTCTCTGCAGATGGTATGATGATTTGTGTATTTATATTTTTATTGCATGTTAAAAGATAAAGCTGTTATATATAATGGGCTTTATATGATAAATTGAATTACCAATTGCAATTACGGAGTTAGTTTATTTATAGTAGGAGGATTACATGAATCATTCAACAGTCTCAGAAAAACATGCATATGATCACCAGACTGTTGAGAGCTGAAGGAAACATTACTGTGTAGGTTACTGTTTTTGTTTTCCGGTTACAGTTGTCTGCACTGTTAAATGATGGACAGGAGAGGAAAGTACAAGTAAACTGCTCAAAACATCGATCCTTTGCAAAATAACTTCAAATCTAGCCTTCCACCTCTAAAGCTGTATAGGGAGAGAGAAAGATCCAAAGGCTACAGCTTTACTGAATGACTTGATGAAAGAGTTCATAAGATGGATCTACTTACAAAGAATAGAGACACCCAAAAAGCCTAATTACAACCAATTAAGACTCACCTACTAGGTACTGACTAACACCATTAAATATACTTCAACAAATGGAATAAGTATTAGATCATTTCTGATGCTTTTTATTGACTTGAGCATACCAATTTATCATCACTTCCCGCCAGTGCACTCCTAAACAGTTAACATTCTGCATCATACTTATGGTTTCGAATACTCCCCACATGACACTCCCCACCTTCCAGAACCAGATATATAAGTAAATAAAAGGCTCCTGAATTTGCCCTAGGGACAATAGAACTACAGTTTTTACTTCTTTTTATGCTTCCAATGTAAGACATACGCCAACACTGAATAATTTAGTTGCTAATTATGTTGACACTGTGATGTTGTCTTGCAAAGGTGACGGGGTTGAGGAGACATCGGATAAAGCAGACAGCATGAGGTGAGTAGCTTAGTATTTCTCTCTTTACAGGAAAGTGAAGAATAAGAGCAAACTTTTCTACTATGATTATTGAAGACACCCCCTACTACTCCTTTCCTATTTCCTTTTTGTGCTGTGGTGCAAAACTTGTTCATTGCCAACTCGATTTCCTATGTAAGTACTTCCGGGTCAGTTACGATACTATCATTAAGCATTTTGTTAGAGCTTGTCGTTAGCAAATAACATTGCTCCTTTGTTCTTGCTTTGTCTTGAACCATAGAAATACCTCCTTTTCTGTTTTTCTTTTCGAAATATGTAGCTTGTGACAATCATCAATATCTTCTTCATCATCTTGTATTGCTTCGAGATATTGGGGTCAAGGGAATTCTAAGGGCACATTGCTTCCGACAAATTGAAAGGATAAGGAAAGAAACAAAGGATAAAGTAGGGAAAAACCAAAGAATAAGTTTTCAGACGCACTTACAATGGAGAGAGAGACACAGTTCAAATGTGATTGATGCGTGCTTTGGCTGGACTTCTATCTTGTGCAGACAAACTAAAGAAAGAACGAAAGAAGAAGAAGAAGAGAAGCCAGTCCTAGAGTAAGTTCCTTTGGAATTGAATTAGTGATTCGGTGCACAAAAATTTTGTTTCCAAAATGTTATAGCGGTTTCTATACTGTGCGTTAGAATGTTGACGAGTTTTGCTAGTGGAGGCCTGTCTCATAACAGACTTTTGAGCTTTCACTAGTGTTAAGGTGAAAAAGAACATTGGAGATAGGGATGCTTTATGTTATGGGGGCTTGTCCCATATGAGACCATAACTAAATCAGATCACCTTTCAGGTCAACGGAGCCCACAGGATCCGGGTGCACGTTCAAGCCGGGGACATGGCAACCGCCGACTTGAAGCTATTCCTCCTGGTGTTCTAAAGGTTCAATACTGCAATGCTCCGGGTCCTGTTCCTGCTTCTTTGCGAGATTCACTGATGAGAATAGTGGTATGGCTCAAGATGGGCTGACTAGGCAGTTCCTATTCGAGAGAGAACCTTCAAGACTCCAGTGTTGAGTCTTGATTTCGGGTTTTTTCTTTTTATGCCAAAATTTACATTTTGTAGGTTGTTCTCACAATTTTGGGCATCTTCGGGATCATCGAGATTGTTGCACATTGTGTCACACAACTGCATTACAAGTACACCAAAAAATAAAGAGGCCAAGTGAAGGCGTCAAGAGATGTTTTGGGGAAATATTTTGTCTTTCTTCTGGAACGGATGTTTGCTTGACAATGTGCGAAGATTGAGTTAAAAGCTCAATTAGACTCGGAGTTGAATCATATGTGAGCTTCAGCTTGTGCGGTTTCATTCAAATTCAAGGTTTGTACAATGATTTGTGAAGGCATGTACCTTTCTAATCTTGCCGCCTGGCTCCATATGATCAAAGTGCAGCACATCTTCTAGATTGCTTTGCTTGTCTTTTTATTTGAGAATGAGGAAATTTCGAAATGATCAGAGTCTTCGACTCGCAAAAGATGTAACATACAATTATTCATGTTCAGCTTTTGTATGAGAAGTATACTTTCATCTGATTCAAAATTTGCCAATGTCTTGCCTATAATCCTTTTTTTTTTTTTTTTGGTAAATAAAGGTACAAAACTGAATAATTTAACGTCTAAAGTCTACTATTCCAACTTCATCGCTGCACAAAATATCCTCTTGCTAATATTGGAATCAAGAAGTGATTAGATACTACATTCTAACCATTCTACTTACGGCCTCCTAACGTATAACCTTTTGAGTTGTAGTATCACGCAAATAAAAGCAAAGTTAATTTCCCTACTCACTCCGGAAGACCTTAAGTATGGTTCTGTTTGGTTCAACTTTGGGAAGGGTTTTCAGCCTCGAAAGCCCCTTCCCAAAATGTCAGGTTGAACTGTTTGTTCCAGCTTTCCGAGTTCTAGTAGTCAAAGTTCTAAGATTTGGAATGGGCCAAAGGCCCCAAAGCTGGGGTTTGGTTCAGCCTTTCCGAGTCCGAAAGGCCGAGTTTAAGATTTGAACAGCCGAAAGCCCAAAGCCGGTCCTGACCACTTTGGGCTTCGGCATTCCACAAATGCCGATCGTTTCCAAAAAAAAAAAATTCTTCAAGAAATGGCGCCGCTAAAGGGTAATGGCTAGGGCTGTCGGGCGAGGTCGCCCGACCTGTGTGATGGCCGACTGGGGCCTGGGCGATCGCCCAGCAGCCGTCGCCCGGGTCGAACGACCCTGTGCGCGGCGACGCTGGGGTCGCTCGACCCAGCCATCGCTGCCGGGTCACGCGACTCAGCGGCATTTGCCGGGGTCATGGCGATCGCCTGCGGCCCACACTGGTCGCGCGACCGCCCAGTTGCCGGGTCAGCGCGACCCAAGCGACAACGGCCTGGGTCGCGCGACCGCCCAGGCGGCCTTCGCCTCGGGAGGTTGCGCTGACCAGCGGACGACGGCTCGAGGTCGTGCGACCTCAGCGCCTCCTGGGCGCCCGGCCGCCGGCGCGCAGTATCCGGGCTCATCGGTGGCACAGTAGCCCTTCGCCGAAATCGGCGAAGGGTACTTAAAAAAAAAAAAAAAAACCTCCCAAAGCCCATTTGTAAAAAGGAATTTACCAAACACAATTGCATTTCCCTAAGTGGCTTTCAAATGATTTTTTACCAGACACTACGTGCATTTCCTCAAATGGCTTTCACTTAAAGGTAATTGCATTCCCCCAAGTAGCATTTGAAAAGCCGAACCAAACGGGCCCAATATGACGGCAAACCCAGTGAAGCGTGGAATGAACCTTTTGAAATTTTATCTTGTAACCCTCGGGAAATCTTTTAAATTGCCATTGCTTGAAATCTTTCCGAATTGCCATTGTTTCGTTTTCAATTCACTTCTGATCATCAAATGAAACTATCCATCACGGAAACTGGTTAAATGATATCTCGAGCAGTTTACACATCTAGGATCTTGATGGATATAGATGCCTTGTGAGCTTCATAGAGATTACTTCACAATACCTTGTTGCAACTTTACTTCAGTCACTACCTTTGGCATTCCCCCTCTTTGTGATTAAAGTCGGGAATTCGGGCATTGGCCCTCGTGGGGATTGTCATCCGTCCAATTAATTCATTCATTTTGGATTGTCAATCCCATTAATCATTGCGAGTCGAGTTTTACCGATAATATTTATAAAAAGAAGTTCACGGTCAACGGCGGTAGAGGAGATTTCTGTTGTTTGTCTGTGGCCATTCAAGTAGGGCGCCTCACCCGACCCCCGATCGGGTCGGAAGTTGCGTTTATATTTAACATAGTAACTTTAAAGCGCACAATCACATCAACAAATTAAAAGCTCGAATCAAAATTTTGACATCGAAATAAAGTTAAGGAATCAAGCTCATGGCATTTTCCCTTGAAGGACTCCCTTGAGTTTTTTTGTTTTATTTTTCCTTCATGTTACCAAGAAAATAAATTAATCTCGTGTGACCATATGTTTCAAAATTCCGACAAAAAAAAGTATATGTTTCAATTTTCTTTTTGGAGGGGGAATTGAAATAGAGTTGACAGAATTTGAAATGCCGTTGTGTTTTTTTTTCGCAAGTAAATACAAAATTATTTAATTAACGAATATTTGGATATAAATTCCTCGGAGGTTGCGATTTCTCCCACCTTCCTCTCTGCAAAATCATTTGAACTCCAAAAATCCAACAGCAGAACCGCCGGAGAACTCACCAGTGTTGGTGGCGGTGGCCTTTCAAAGGCGGCGGACCGCCTAGCGATCAGCCATTTTCCTGCGAGACCGCCATTGCCGCCGCTGAGATCCACCGGTTGGGCGCTTCCTCTTTCGATGGCGAAGGGGCTGCAGGGCGGCGGCGGCCAGAGTTTGCCGGCCGACGTCTCCCAGGTCGTCGATCAGCTGGAGCGCCACTGCTTGGCTCCCGACGGCTCTCTCGTCTCCAAATCCGCCTACTACGACCTCCAGCTCGTAACTCTCTCTCTCTCTACTTCCCCCCTCCGCCTTCTCTTTCTCCCCTCGAGTAATTTCGCTCTTTCGTGTTTTGTCGCGGAGAAAACGACGGCGAGGAGAGCGGCGGAAACGAGTTTGCGATCGCTTAGATCGCAGGATCGTACGTTAACGGCTGATTGGAATTAGGCTTGGTTGATCTGTTTCGATCTCGAGATGTGTCGTTGCATTGAGAGAGATTGCAGTCCTATTCGGTCGAAGCGTTTGTTGATTCGTGCATTGATGTGTCAGGCGAGAGAGGAGATGTCCAGAGAGAGGCTGCGTTATCTGGAAGCCATGGTGAGATTGCTGTTCTACAGGACATTACTAATGTGACGGTTTCGGTGCTCTTTCCTTCTGTACATTGTTTAGGTCTGACTTTGAAGCGGTTCGTGTTCTCTGTATCTTGTGGTGGAATTGATTTAGGCGATCTATTGCGAGGCAATTGCTATGGTTGAAGAGTATCAGCAGGCTGTTTCGGTGGCTAATCTCGGCGGGATTCGTGATCTTCAGGGTTTGTATCCACAGCTCGGATTGAAGAACTCCCCGCAGGTCTTTTGATATTCTATCGTAATAGTCTATGTTGTGTGACTAGAATAGTTATTTGATTCTTGTGTCCTTGAGCAGATGAACTGACCTACTGACTTCTGGTGCTTCTCGTTTTCTTTCCTTCATGAGTTGTGGTGCCATGCTCCAGAATAGCTGTATGGAACACTCTGTTCAGCTATAACAATGCATGAGAATGCCATGGAAATGTGTCAGAAGTGGTGCTCTTGGCATTGCTATTTGTGTCCAAGTTTGCTTCTAAACTATTGAAAAATTCCTCCACGTGGAACATACTTATTTGATGCTTAGCCAATGAAATGATGGCTGACTCTGTTGCTCTATATTGAGACTTTTCCTTTGGCATTGCATCTGTTGTAACATGCTGCATCTTTTTTCTGATTATAGGTATATGAGACTCTAGAGCACCGTCTGGTTGTCGCAGAAGCAGCTCAAAGACTGAGGCTTCCTTTAATATCGAAAGATGGAGAGATCCACGAGGATGAAATTGAGAAGTGGAGTATAATGTCAAGAAGCTCCATTGATAGCACTAGTACTAGCTTTACCATCAGTTCAAGCACTAATTCCATAAATTATACAAACATCTCTACAAATAGCAGTCTAGGCACTGCCAATAATTCTCCATCAATTAGCAATGCTGATGCGGTGGAACCTGGAGTTGGTGGTGTTCCTAACCGTTTTCTTGGAATTACACCTGTGTATTTATGGCAAACTCAGCTTCAACGGGCACCACTAGCTGTGGTACTGATTCATGAAATGATTCATATATGTATTGCTCCGATAGGTTACTGATCATGTGTTATTTTGTTATATCCCTGGTACTGTCTATTTCATTACTTTTCATTTTCATGCTCTAATGAAACCTGTTGCCACAAATTGAAAGAGTTGAAGGGAGAATATTCATTCCTGCTTTGGTATGTAGGATATGACAGAGTATCAGATGTCTGTGTCCCATGAGATTGAGGCTCGTCTGAAAGTCAAATGTGATAAACTGGCTGATGCGTTCGCTGATGACATTGGTAGTTTTCAACTCTCAAATCTTTTTCTTTTCGATCTGCTCTCTATTTCTAGCTAATGCATGCTGTGTCCTTTTTCGACTACATTTTATCTCCACTAATGTCTGTGAATGTCAACTTCTCAATGGAAAATGTCCAAGATATTATTTGGAGGAATACCTTCATCACAAAGCACGACATCTTTTTGGGAAAAAGGCAGTTTGATACGCAGTATGTATCACGATGTTGTTGTATGCATGAAAATTTGATTCTTTCTTTTTCATGCAGATTCATCATCAGGAAATCAAAATTTGAGTGCCCGTCTGCCAGAAAGGTTTGTGTCTTGAATTGGTTTCTTTTTCGAATATATAATTAACTGATGAGTTATGTTTCCATCATATCTCCCTTTAATATGTGCCATTTGTTGTTCGTGCTGATGCTACAATTTTATCTGAACTTGCTCTACTATGCCCTTCTAAATAATAGATCTGATTCCTAGTCAAATTATTTGGAGATGTTAATGGACATATCTCCACCCCAAGAATCGATACAGAACATGCTACTCTAATCTAATCTTTTTCCACTTGAATTTTCTGAATTTACATCCACTACCTTACACCCACGTTCTTCACCTGAGAAATATCTGCAGTCCAGTTTTAATATCTCTGCATAAAGCACGACTGCATGAGTAGTTTATTCACGTCCAGTTAAAATTATCTAATGTCATCTTCCTTTTTCCTGAGATGCTACCTGCTGTTGAAATCCTATCTAAAAGAGGATATCCGTGCGAAAAATTTGGCGCGTGATCAATGGTTGATCAAGCAGCTTTTCATTTTAAGGGTTTGGATTCTATTAGAGTATCTTCCGGAAGGACTCGACACCACTACGATAAAAACTAAATATTTTCCTTAAAGTAGGATTCGTTGCAATGTATGTTTTATAGTAATTTTAGATTTTAAAGGAAGCATTAGTGATTAATTATTTAAGGAGTCTTAGAGAATAAACTATACTTTGTTAACTTGGATGGTTTGTTATGCAAGAACTCCATGAGGAATTAAGATTTTCTGTAGTTGATTTGAAGTCCTGTGGCTTGATTGGGAGGATTTTATGCAGGAACAAAGTAGGAGAAAACATGAAATATGGACAAGAGAGCTTGACGAGAAAGCACATATTCCTATAAATTCATCTTGCAGGGCCAAGAATATGTTATTTCCTGGAAACCCCATTTCACCCCGTGGAGGAACATGAACTTCTTTGAACTGTGAAAAGTGATCTTGGTTGATCCTTGAAGGCTAATGTTAAATAGAACTTGCACCCTAGGAACATGTTGTCCTCAGTCAGTTAACGTTTAGTGGCAAAGTCATCTGTCTATCGTATTCTTCTTCAGTAGTAGAACTCGAGCAATTGGGTTGTGTAGATATTCAGTATATGGTACTCTGAAGTGTATGGGACAGCCTCTTAATAAGATTTATCCCATATGCTTGGATAAATAACCTGCTCATGATAGTGAATGGTATAATTATTTTCTCTACATCAGGGTGAAATCTATCATTGAGGAGATTGAAAGGGAAGAATCAGCTCTTCGGGAAGACCTTTACTCTGCAGATAGGAAATTTGCGGAATACTATAATGTATGGGCATAAGCATAAACTTCTTGGTCTTTTCTGGCTTGAAATATTTTTTATAATGTTGACTCGATGTAATGCATCTCTGAGCTCAGAGTTTATCTGTGGTTTTGGATGCATTTTGCCCAACTAGGTCTTAGAGCAAATACTTGGAGTGCTCATCAAGCTGGTCAAGGATTTGAAATTGCAACATCAGCATAAATATGTACAGATTTCTGAACTTCTTGCAATCTTTTAAACCACCTTTGTATATTCTTGCATACTTCCTTTGGTAAAACCTCTGAATCTACCTTCTGTCTCATCATAGGATGAACTACAAAAGACGTGGCTATGCAAAAGGTGTGAAACCATGAGTGCTAAACTGAGGTTGGTTGCATACTCTTGCTTATTTAATTCATTCTTTATTTTGTTGGCTTTTGCTTTGATGGATTTTTAAGCTTGATACGTTGGAAATTTCCTCCTGAATTTTGCTTCTGAAGGAGCAATTCCAACTTGTGACTATTCAAGCATTTGTTAATGGAACTCTCCTCTGTATTTGAAGTATGTTCATTAAATATGCTGACATTAATAGATAATTGAAAAAGATGGCATTATAGGGGTGAGCATGGTCTGGGTGGGCGGTTCCCACCCTAGAACCCGGAACCACTCACTAAAGACCGGTTCCGAAAAATTGGAACCGAGAACCGCCCGTTGGTTCCATAGACCCACCCAGGAACTGGACCGGACCGGACCGCCGGTCCAGTTCCCGGGTGGGTCCATAGAACCGGTCCCACTAGCCAAGGACGAAGACGAAAAGACTAAGACGGAGACGGAGACGGAGATGGAGAGTCGGAGACAATAAGGTGAGCATCGACCGAAAAGAGAGAGAGTGAGAGTGAGCGTGAGGCGAAAGCGCAAGAAGGTGTTTTTCGGTTCAATGTGAGGCTGTGAGCGTCAAGCAAGTTAGGTTTAGTATAGGAATTTATGATTTTTCTTTTTAAAAAAAATTAAAATTAAATAAATATATTATATTTATTATTATATTACTGGTCTGGTCCAGACGGGCGGGCGGTTCTACACTTAGAACCGGGAACCGGACCGGTACGCACCTGTTCCAGGCAATCCGGGCGGTTCCTGGTGTTTTTGCACACCCCTAGATGGCAAGGATACTTTGCTAGTTTGAAAATGGATGCAGATTTTGCGTAGTGTTCTTTCAGATCTTTATATTTTTTTCCCCATAAGTGAACGTTATAGGAAGGACAAAGGTGTGAGGCTGGTTATTAGCAGAAGCCCAGATGAAATGACAGAATGCACTAAGTGTTTATAGAGCTCGACACTCCTGTTCCCAAAAGGCCTTCTTTAGAATTGAGGAATCTGAGTAATGAGCAACTCAACTTAGTGCTGTGCACTTCATGTGGAACTTCATTCGTCTCAACCCTACACACAGTTGTGCACGCTAACAACACAGAATAGGCCAAGAACTTAAGAGCCCAACATGCCAATTCCAAAAGAGGCCACCTTTAGAAATAAATATGGGGTAATAAGCTACTCAAACTCATTCATGTGAGCTCGATATGGGACTTTATTCACCTCAACACACATACACTTGTGCACATCCTATCTGGTCGAACTTTATATCTCTTAGAATAATCATTAAATATATTTGTAGCTGACAGATCTTGTACTTCTCAGTGCCTTCATGTATGGCTGTTAGTCTTGTTTGATGTGCTTTGACGAAAGCAATCTCTTTGCAGAGTTTTAAAGCATATACTTTTATACGAAACTTATACTCAGGAGTCAATTCCAGCTCTCCACAAAATAAGGTGACTTTTAGTGGCAACACAGATGATTTAACTGTGTGTTTGCTGGTAAGGATTAACAAACTCTGGTATTTCATGCAGGAAGTATCTTGTTGAGGCCACAGAAGAAGCTTCAATAGCTTACAACAAAGCGGTTAGCTCCATCGTTTGCTAAAACTATATTGCTCAAATGCTGGATCTCTTTCAATCTTCTGTGAAAAAAAATATCCATATTTTCATCTTTGGCTGTTTTTGCCCAAAATATATTTACTCCCAGATAATGGTGTGAATTTCGTCCTTTTCTTTTGCTAGTCCAGTTTTGACAATAAAGAAATTTTTCCTTGTAATTTTCTAATCCCTCGGAAAAGCCTTTTTCATATCATGATCATATTCTAATGTTTCTTGAAGGTAACAAGACTTAGGGAGTATCAAGGCGTCGATCCTCACTTCGATACAATTGCAAGGCAGTATCATGATATAGTGAAGGTAATTTAAGTCCACGCTTTTACTGTTCTGCTATGACTCCTGAGTGAACTTAATGGTTGATTCTCCTGCGACAGAAATTGGAAAATATGCAATGGACAATTCACCAAGTGGAAATGGACCTGAAACGCATGCCCGATCATCCAAACGCATGAGTGTGGAGCCCCCTCAAGTATGGCATCGTGGCTTATTATTTTGTTGCATTTATGCACCAAGGATTGGATGAAGCTAAGTGATAGCTGTTTACTGTGTATCTGTGCTATAGCAAATGTTAAGTTGAAAATCATATTCGTCTCAATCCTGAGCTGATTTTTAACAACCTAAGAGAAAAGAAAATCGACCAAAATAAAGAGTGGAAAAGGGAAAAAAAAATTAATGATCAAATTCTTAGGTGCTTTTCGACCAAAAAAAAAAATTCTTAGGTGCAGCTTCATGTTAGTCATCACATCAAGTTAAAGTCAGATTGATACTAATTTCTCAAAGAACCAAATCATAAACTGATTTTATTTCATTTTTAGTGTTAATAAATTTTTCATAATTAGTAATTTAGTTATCTATCTGTATATTGCATTACAAGATTACAAACTTGAAGGACGTCCATTTTGCATAAATCTAGCACGTGCTCTATGTCTCGAGTGTTTCTGTGAAGGGTCGATGCGATTTCTCGCTGAACTGGAGACCAGCTTTACCTTCTTCTTATGTATTATTTTCTGTCGATATTCTTATGCTTTATTCGAATGGTCAATTAGCCGAATAAAATGGAAGTGCCATCTTTTGGTTGGCGATAAATGAGCAGCCATTTGATTATTCCACACCAAGCAAGAAGAAACTTCCTTCTTTTGTTAGACTAAGTAGTACCAGGGGCTGTGTGCCATCCAATCGTAGCGAGATGATTATGAGAATGAGGTCCGAGGACATGGTCCCACGTACTTGTTTTGCCCGGATTATATGCGGCTTCGCTTTTTTGGGCGCAACACACAATTTGATGTCCGAGTCTTATTAGTTAATTCTCAGCAAAATCCAAGGTTAACTTTCTGAACCAATATAGCTAGACATGACCCACCCGATTCTTTGGAATTGTGTGCATTGAGCTGTTCGAGTCTTGGGGAGATTTGAAACAAAAGAATAACAGAGCATACCTTTATTCCCCGATCATTTTGAATTTGATGGACATCCATTACCATCCAATCCTTTCAGGGGATTCTTAGCGTTGGGAGCAACATGAGAATTGACACCTCCCCCACTTCTTCCCTTATAAGATGCCATTGTTGGTGCTCATAGTGACGGAACTTGTCCGTCTACCTATAATAATCTGCCCTGTGCAGTTTAGGACAGCCCATCAACGATTCTTTGAATGAATTCCAACGCGAAAGGCGTCTCGTCCCCATTTTGGAAGTGTTTCGCCATATGAAAACAGCTACTCTTGCCCACCACGATTGTCATATATTCCATTCACCACGCCGCATTACTTAAAAGGTTAATGGAACATGAGGAATAGTACAGTGCTTGGCTGTTTCGCATATCAAAGATGTGGGAAAATCTTATTATATACGTGCCTTCTAGAGATCTTTTGTGGCCGCAAAGAGGCATCTAGAGATCTCCAGGCCCAGTTAATTCCGCTTTGTTACTGCACAGACCTGATTGCATCTACCCTTCATTCCGAACTACTTAGTTTTACTCCTCTTGATGTGCCTGAAGTGGCCAGAGGAGCTGACTCGTAAGCATCGAACACGACCCCGATCGGAATGCATCCCTGCTGTACGGCGATGAAAACCGATTCAATAGTAGCCGGAAGGAGTTATCTCTAACCCGAACTATGGCCTCGGGTCTTTATTTGGTAATTTCTTCGCGGGTTCTGCTGCCCTAGATGCTGCTGATGACGATGATGATCTTGCCCCCCTCCATGACATGGAAAATGTGGGGAAACAGAAGTTGGGGAAACGAAGACAAAATGGTTCGCCGTATTAAAAGAATTCTTAATTTATCTGCCAAAGCGAAAATATGCGAGCTCCAGAGCAAAGGGAGAAATCACGTGATTCCCAGAATTTTGCTGCACTGTTCTTTTCATCGATTTGAGCTCTTCGAGAGTGACGTGAGACCCGTGACGCGAGACCAGTCGCTCATCTCCATGTGCCTCTCATATTCTCTTGTCCTAACAAGGACTTGATCTAGACGCCAACCAACCTAGCTCTTCGGGTTAACGAATATAACTGGCCCTTCCCGCCTAATTTTTTCACCTCGAAGGAGACCCCACAGCCTTCTCATCCAGCATCCTCGCTGACAGGCTCGGGCTATTAACTGGTAAGCAAGCACCAGCTTCTTACATAGCTCTCTCATCGGAAATTTCAGAACTTCTACACAGAAGTTGTTCTTTCTCGGGTCGGATTTGGTTAGTGTTCGTCGCCGATACGTGCTCTGGTGCTGGCGGTTTTCGGTTATATTCTGTCTAACTTCCTTTTAGACTCTGGTAGTTCTGCTGCTGATGATCCTTTTGTAAAGGAACGACCCCTCGTGAGTGATAACTAGTTCATTAGTGAATTTCTATCCAAAGTCGAAGATTTTTGGTACATGATTTGCTTCCCCTTTAGTTCGATTTCCTGATTGGCTTTTTTTGCAACTCCATTTCCTCACCCCCCCCCCCCCCCCCCCTTTTGTTTCTCCATTTGAATTCGAATTGTCGGTCCATGCTTTGGTAAAATTGCACATCGAAAGCATTTTCTCGCGAATTTGATTTTCAGTTCTCACGGCCTCCAGGAACAGCGAAATCGCGTCTGGTTAGCGCCGGCTCAGCACATGACTAAGCAGGCCGACCAAGTGGCAGCTCCTGGTCAAAAAGGAGCCGTGCACATTCGAACTCAAAGGAGCTTCAACGGGGGCGAAGTCCAAATGACCAGCCGCGGGTGTTTCCTCAGGGACCGCTACCAAGAAATCCGCTGTTGCAATTGTTTTGCCATTCGGGTCAAGGAGATCAAACCGAACAACTGCGTGACAACAGTGGAAGGACTCAACGAGAAGCTGAAGCACGAAATCATCCTCGCGGATCTCAAGAAGATGCTGTGCTGTGACGGGGACATCAGCAAGACGAAGGAGGCCGGCGTGGTCATCCGGCTCTACACCGGACGCGTTGGTGCGGTGAAGGAATTCCTGTGGAAATCTGGCCTGGTAGCGAGAGAGAAGATCTCCTGTGCAGCGCGAGACAAGATCTGCTGTGCAGAATGCGTTTAGTGTGCTTGCCTCCCGTTCGAGCGGAAACGCCTATGATTCAAGCGTTGATGCAAAAGTATGCAACTCGTACTTCTTAATTGTCCGAGTAGAACAAAAATGAAGTGGGCATATTCTCGCTTTGTAATAAAATAACAGCCGGCACCTCGCGACGGGCTCACAATAGTAGAAAAGATTGGAAAAAATCTTGGGTTGACTTTTCCGGCAATCATCGCTTAGAAAATTCAGACATCTCAAAAGTGCCCTGTTAACGATTCCGGCAGGTGAACCAAATGATGAGATTTTTAAAACAAGTGACCAACTACTTTTTTCTCCTCCCACATTCCTGCCAATAACAACATCGTCGCATGTTATTGTCATCACTCTCTCTCTTGCTTCCTTTTCCGTTTTAATGAAAGAGAGGTCGTCTTTGGCACTGTTAAAAACGTAAAACTATATTGTAATTTTTATGAATGTTTTTGTACATCTTTTATCTCTCTTTTCAGCTTCTATTTATAAGAAGTTAAGGATATAAACAAATCAACAATCACTACAAAAAAACCGGATTTTTGCCACGAAAATTTACGACGAAAAAATTTTCGTCGCAAATTTGCGACAAATTTTCCAACGAAAGTAAAATTCGTTGGAAATTTCCAACGAAAAATTTTTCGTCGCAAAATTCGTTGGTAATTACTAACGAAAAATTTTTCGTTGGAAATTTCCAACGAATTTTCACTGACGAATTCAAAAAACCCGGTATTAGTCTCGCATTTTTTATATTCGTTGGAAATTTAGCCACGAGTTTAGCCACGAGTTTGTAATTTTCCAACGAAGTTTGTAATTCAAAAATTTTGTAATTTTTCCAACGAATTTAGCCACGAGTTTTCCAACGAAAAATTTTCGTCGCAAACTTCGTTGGAAATTTCCAACGAATTTTGCGACGAATTTCAATTTTCCGGGGAATTTTTTCAGTGTACTATTTTCGTTGGAAAATTCGTTGGAAATTTCCAACGAATTTTGCGACGAATTCAAAAAAATCGGTCTTGTTCGGCATTTTTTATATTCGTTGGAAATTTCCAACGAATTTTCCAACGAATTTCAATTTTCCGAGGAATTTTTTCAGTGTGTATAATTTTCGTTGGAAAATTCGTTGGACACACTAAAAAATTAGTAATAATCGCGGGATTTTGAATTTGAATCTCGTGACAGAGTCACTCTCTCTCTCCTCTCTCTTCTATCGTCGCGTCCCTCACCTTCTTCACCACACACGTACACACGCAGAGACAGAGAAGCAGAAGCAGAAGAGCAGAGAGAGCAGACCGGGGAAGATGGCGACCCTCACGCGGGCATCCTCCCGAAGCTCCTCCCGGTCCATGAACTCCTCCAACGCCGCGTCGCCGGCGACCACCGCTCCGCCCTCCTCCAGGTCGTCGGCATCGTCCCCGCCCTCGCCGCCCCCAATGACCTCTGGCCCAACCACGGCTTCTTCCTCCACCTCTTCGACTCCCTCCACTCCACCTACGTCTCCCTCTCCGACCGCGACGCCGACCTCATCCACTCCAACCGCCTCCAGCTCGGCCACTTCGTCCACCTCGACCGCCTCCTCCTAGGCCCCCGACTCCCCCGTCCCCCGCGCCTCCGCCCCCTCCCCGGCTGCCACCCCCTTCCTCGGCTCCCCCGAGCCCCTCGTCGCCCGCCTCTCCCCCTCCTTTTCTCGGCCGCCTCCTCGTCGCCGGCCCGCTGACGAGGTTGGGCCTCGCCCGCGACGAGCTCGAGCTCGCCCGGATCTGGCGAGCTCGGCCTCGCCGGCGGCGAGGGCGATTTTTCAAAAAAAAAAAATTTCGTTGGAAAAAAATTGTAATTTTTCCAACGAAAAATTTTTCGTTGGAAAAAAAATTTCCACAATTTTTCGACCAAAAAAAAATTTTTGTAATTTTTCCAACGAATTTAGCTACGAGTTTTCCAACGAATTTTCCAACGAAATAAAATTCATCGCAAATTTCCAACGAAAATTGAAATTTTTCGTTGGAAAAATTTCCGACGACCTATTACCAACGAATTTTTTTTCGTTGGAAATTCGTTTTCCAACGAATTTTT